GTGGTTAGAAGTCGTATGAAGGTGGAGAAGGGCAGATAGAAGGTTGGTAAAGGCAAAGAGAGGGAGAAGAAAGAAAGAAAGAGAGAAAGATAGAGAGATAGAGAGATAGAGAGATAGAGAGAGAGAGAGAGAGAGAGAGAGATTCATCGCCTATCACCGTAGGGACGAAGCGCTGTGTTCGCCTCGAATGCGGTAAGGGTGGATGAGCAGCCTCGTGAAATGCCATCATCAAGCATTCATAAGGTATAGCGGTCTATTTATCAAAGGCAACTCGCTGCCTCGCCTTGGAAGCGTATCAAGAAATTGCGGATGGAAAAGATAAGGTTGCGAAAAAAGTTATGCGCTGGGAAATCTCTCTTATGTTCCTTTTTACGTCATATTTATAATGAAAGTAATTTATATACTTTTGGATTGGTATACACTCTGTATCTCATTGATTTTGATCTTTCTTTATCGGGTCAAATTTTTTATTGATTGCTTATCCATTTTTTATTCTTCGACAATGATTAGATATAAAAGAAAGTCATCGACTATGACAATAATATTTCTTTTTATTTTTCCATACAGGAATAATGATGTAGGCTGAACTAAATGTTTCGAAAAAGCCATAAGGGAAGCATCATCATCAATCAAAATCAGTGCTGGATAAAGAACTGAAAATAGAAAGAGAGAAGGAGGGTGTGAACACACCCTCGAAGAAAAAAAATCTTGTAATTATTGCAATCCAATGAAAGACGCGCGAGAGCATATGCGAGTATTCAACCCTCCGAAGGCCGAGGGGTCGCGTCAACGAGGCTAGTTTTGTCATTGGAATTTGATGATCCTCTTCTGTCTCGTGGGATTCGCTACATAAATATTTGCTAGGTAATCCCTTCGGCGGATTTCTCCTCCATATATCTCTATTGTTCCTCCACCAATTTGCACACCCTTCTTCTTTTCGACAAGCTTCTCTTCATTTAAAAAATCTATCTTGCACCTGCCCTGAGATTAAGGGATCATATTCGATAATTTTCTTTCTAAGATTAACGTTTAACGTATTCGTTTGACTGATCCATAATCGAATTATTTCTCAATGAATGATATTTAAGATTTTTCAAGATCACTTTTTCTCTATTGTACAACGATTTTTATCTTTACATTATTTGAACAATTTTCTTCACGTTATCCTCATGTAATAATCCTTTCGAATTATCCAGCAGAGCCGTTGTTCTACGCTCGATTAATTTCTTCGGCAACCCTTTTATCCTCTTTAACCCCTTAGCAACTCATTCTCTTATTTACTGACAGCAGGTACGGATTACCCTTCTAGCAAGTGTAACGTGGGGACACGCATGTTGGCGCCCCACAAAATAATAAACACGATTGCTCCATATGTAACGGATATACATGATGTTACGATGACAATCGCGATGATCCCTACTGCGAGAAGTTAAATCACTCGGTTTAACGTCCTTTTCGGAGGGAGTTTCTAAAAGGGGATGATAGGATAATCGGTCTGAGAAAAACAGAACTACGTTCAATATCTATCCAGTTAATTACATTCATTAATCACATCTATATCTCGATTATAAAAATAGATACATATTTTTATTTTATTTTATTAAATGAAAATATTGAATTTTATATATATATATATATATATATATATATATATATATATATATATGACATGTTATTTTACGAAACGTTAACATATGTTGGATAATACTTGTATAGATAATCCCATTTAAAACATCAGTCATCGATAATCTAGTGACCAGTTCTATCAAGTATGGCATTACTACAGGATGATAAATTATGCGTTTGGACGTGTCATTAAAAATGCTAAATCCTCCGATGAATGGTGCGTTTTTTTAAATGAAAGAAAAAAGAAAAAAAAAGAAGAAAGAAAGAATATATTTTCTGGATATATTAGAAAAAGTCTATGTGAATAAAAATAAAAGAAATCTTTATGAGAATAATATATACCCATTTAAAAAATAATTTCTACGATACATAAAAATCTAATTCTTTCGTCTTCGAGAAAAAGCAGAGAAGTAGGCAAGTTATTCCTTCGGATTCAACATGTTCACAGATTCTTTCTTATTCCATCCTAATTCGAGAGAACGACTGCCGTAAAACGAATCAGAGGGGGATCATGCCTCGAAATTTCTTCGCCGGATTACCCTCCGGACGATCGTTTCTCCTTCCTTCTACCGTAGCTGGAATGAAGAAGGGATGAAAATTTGGGATAACCAACCGGTGGAAAATCGTATTCCACCATCCTACGAGCGCGATTGCTTTCGAGTTATCAAATTCTTATCGAATTGTACGTACCGATAAATTTGATAATATTAGAACAATCTAAAAAAAAAAAAAAATAAAAGAAGAGGAGAAAGAACTTTGAGATTAGAATTATGATTAAACTCTTCGTCAAACATTAATCATTCTTCAATATCATTTATCATTTATTACTACGGTATCATTTGTTATATTGTTATATTATTGCTATCGATTGATAGAAAACGCTCTATAAGAAGAAAACAATTATTCGTTTAAATGTGACAAACAATGAACGAAATATTTCGATTTATTTTTGTGGATGCCCACGTGTTAGCTTGTCTGATGTATATGAAAGTTTTTATTAGAAGGAAATAATGTTTCATTATGCAGAGTCTGGATTGCTTGCTGTAGTAATAGATACAAATGTATCTTATATTTTTCCCGTCATTTGTATTGTTAGTAGGAGCAACAGCAAGAACAACAAAATTAGGATTTAATAGAATCTACACTGCTATCACTACTGACTGCTACCTTTCATAGTTTTTAAGGGCATCGTTCAAAGGTTTACGAGTGCGCGAGAAGATAAGCTCGATCTGGATAGATATATTTTCATCCTCGTTATCCTTTATGTCGACCAGTCTCAATCTCCTATGAAATGTCTAAGACAATATTTTCGATTTCGTTTACGATTAAACTCGTTAATATATGTACTTGAATAATACTTACAATATAAATAATTTATTAGAATAATATGATTTTTAACTTTTTTATATACACATATATTAAAAAAAAGTTTTAATTTGAAAGTTCAATTGATATTATATATTATTCAATAATAACGTAATAGTAAGGTTTATAAACTTAATGATACAATTTTTTCTTTTCGCTGATTCGATTCATGTTCAATTCTCTTCAATACCGATATCTATCGTAATTATATATTTGTTGATTTTCATTTATATCGTCAGAGGGCGAACGCGTATGGTTAAACTCGCTTGATACGAATATTATTATGCAACGATCGTACAGATGGTGCTCGAAATTTAAAAGCAATATATATGACCCAATATATTGTTGATTAAATGGCCAATGGTATGAGATAATCATACTAATTTGTTGGTTGGTAGATTGCGCAGAATTAATTGCGCAATATTCATATTGTTTAGGTTAGTATTTATTTTTAAATACGAATATATAAACTATCCTTCATATGTTTAAAACTACAAGATTATCTGTCTTCAGATAAGTTAAATATCAATTCTTTTATTTCAATATGTTATAATTATAATTATTTAGAATGACTTAGAACATATGAGTCGCACTCATGTTATATGTTTATGTCAAATGTTTAAACATATAAAAGGTTTATTAAAAGATTTACAAAGGCATACAAAATTTTGAGCTATCCCTAGCATAACAACAGAAATTCATTAATAATTTTACATAATTAAATTTTTAGTAAGGTAAATAATTATATTCTTTACTACAATTGCATGTCATTTTATTTCACATCATATAAATATGTATCTGATTTTTGTAATATTTTTATAAAATATACAGTCATAAATTTTCTTTATTTATAAACATTGTATTATACGTATTTAATAAAATAAAAAAAACGAAGGATGACACAATTATATTTATATTTTCAAATATTGCTGTCAAATGTCCAGGTACATTATAGAAAATTATTTATCTGGCTGAGGACAACTTTTGAAAAACACATTTATACAATCGTTAACTTTTAAAATGTAAAATGTATATAAGTAAATTATATTAAGAGCATTTATTTTGTCTGTTTTAGTAACAACATTAAAGTGACTTGTATGTCTTAGTTTTTATCTTTGGTGCCAAATAGTATGTGGAAGCTCTTTGGCATATATGTGATAAAATTATTGTTAATACAAGAATAAATTCTGTTAAATAAATAAAAACCAACTTTATAGAGAACTTAGATATTCAAGATGAAACTTATACAATGAGAGTGAGTATTTCAATATTATAATAAATTTATTATTAATTAATAATTTTTTGTTAAATAATGTTTTGACAATTTCTTTCACAAGGATAAAATATTTTAATGTTTAATAAATTTATGGTAATATTATATCATTTTTCTTTAAACAATTTAATATTATAATTATGGATATGTATTAAATTTATTAACTAAATTGTTTGTATTTAAAAATGTATTTTATTTTACTAATGTATTATATCAATAGTATTCTTGTAGCTAAAAATTATTTCAGAAACTATAAGTACAATAAATCGTTAAAGATTTATCTCGATAATAATGGGAGAAAAATCTTTACTAAATATTATGAAAAAAACTATTAATAGTCAAGAAATATTACTATTAGTACAATAAGTTCTAGTACTATAAGTTTCTAGGGTATACTTTTGTAAAAGAAAAATGCACGAATGTTTGTAATTTTGAAAAAATATAGGTTAATACAAGATTAATACATGGTAAGTAGGAGGATTGGTTTATTTAGAGTGACATAACTAGGTCGGCTCCATCGCAACTCTTGATTGATCAGACCTTTTTCATTGACTTCTTATACGCTGAAAATTTTAAATCTGATCATGGAGTTCTTTAACATCTCTTCTTTTTTCCTACATTTTCCTTTTTCTTTTTCTCTTCGTTTTTTATTTTTATCTTTTTTCCCTTAAAAAAATTATAATATTAGGATATTACTAATAGCATCTAAATAAACACAAATATTCATATAATCATACTAAACACAAATACTAGCATTAACACGCGCATCCTATTTTATCGATGATCTTTTGTTGTGACAATGCAATTGAATTTTTGGCCGATCATGTTTATTTATAGTGTTCATTTTCTTGAAAATTGCAAGAGAATTGATGCAAGTGCATCTTGACTCCATTTACTGCTCATTTTGTTTTTTTTTTTTTTTTTTTTTTCCAACGATCCGTCAACGCCGTGATTTATAGTCATTTGAAAGATAAACAGAACATTGATAGCGATGACATTCTGACACGAAGCGTATTCGATCTCCAATCCTTCTCATCTCTCTTACAAAATAATTCGTTAATTTCAAATTCGTTCCTGGAATTTTATCGAGTATAAATATATTTAGAGAAAGGCGAATGATAGATTGGATTTTATCTTGGCGAGAAGAGCAAGAGGAAAAAGAGAATAATAATATTTAGAAACTCACTCGCACTTTTATACACTCTTGGAATGTAATGGATAATTTATACACAGAATCTTTTCCTCGCATGGAATCGTTTTCGTAAATCAATATATAAGCTGGAGAGTCTGTAAAATAGAATCGTTTCTAACATCTAAGAGTTCTTCTGACAATTATATTCAATAGTCACATGGGCAATCGTTGATTCAGAAAGCTGGTGAAAGCAATTAAACATATAAACAGTTGAAATTAATTTGAAGAACTGATCTCTGGTTGGAAAGAAAGAAAGAACATCATATTGGTTAAATTTAACACTATGACTCCCCACTATTTACTATATCCCCACTATTTCCAAACAACCAATCAGAAAACACTAAGGAAAGTTTCTAATCTTAATGTGTTATAATATATATAAATGGAGAAATTGGAAGGAAAGTTAGTTTCATCTCAAATCTGCTTGAGAATTTATCGGTAGAATTAATAAATATACTCTGTTTTAGATATTATAATTTATTTACAACTATATTATATTAGAATAAGCATTTATTGTTCACATTTGGTGTTCGTATGCTTGTGGATAAATATAATAGCAACTACGTAGATGCTCCATTTCATTTTTCATATATTTTGGATATTTTTGAAATTTTAGAAATTCACGAAAAGTTTGAAAAGTGAAGAAGACAGGATAAATGAATGTTCAGTAGCCGGTTAGAAAATTCTTTTCAATAAATGAAACGTCCTTGGTTTGTCAAAAAGAAGATACAAGTAATGTCTACTAATGTTCTCGTCAAAACGAAAGTTTTTCTTTTATCAAATGTGAGAAGAAAAACAACCGCAACGAAACACGTTAAAAAGGATCCATCTGTCAGCTTCCCATTTTCATTCAAGAAGAATTTTAACTCAAAGGGAGGTATTTTTTCATTTTGCCCGTAAAGTTTTTTCAGTCATAAACCAAAGCATCCGGTAGAATTTGAGGTAACCATTTGATATTTCCATTTTTTTTCTTCTTTTTTTTCCTATGATACATTAAGTTCGTTAAAGTATTTTACCATGTAACTAATATCTTCCCTTTTCTTTTCTTTTCTTTTCTTTTTTTTTCTGGCAGAAATATCAGTGAATTGCAATTTTCGTTTCTAGACTTTTCTTAATGCTTCTTAACGTTTCTTCGTAACTTTCACTTTCGGGGTTCATATGAATCTTGTGTCTCCAAGAAAATTTGATTGACAATAATGTAGCGTAAAAGTTGTGGACTAAAGATGAGAACGTGACAGGAGTAAATTTTTCACGCAATTCAAACTTGAGAAAGTCGGTATATCTTTAAATACACAATATTTGTTGGTAAACAGGACTTCGACAATTATTGAAAGAAGATTCTCGCCGTAATGGATTGTGTTTCGGATATTTACGAATTAGATGCGGTCTTGAATATTCTTAGCTACTTTGAACTACTGGGTTTACGTTCAAGGTATCATTATCACCGATACTCAATAGATATATTAGTTTGCTCATCTTCGGGTATAAGTTTAGTTACTTTCTTTTTTGATCTTTCCAATATTATTTTCTATTTACTATTTTTCCATTTACAATATCCATGTGAATTTATTTATTTGATTTATTTCTAGATATAGATATATAGGTTAGAAAAACAAATACAAAGTAACGACGGTATCGCGAAAATTTTATTTTTTGATAAAAGTCACATGAAGGAAAGGAGAAGATTTAAATTTTCATAGCAGTAATATACTAATTAAAATAACAGCGCCTGATCTGTTATTTTTTGTTCAAGAATAGGCGGATCCATTAAAATCAATTGCATTGGTTGATAGCAAATACAGCGGATCTCCTTTGGTATATTATCATTTTCTTTTCATACTTCTTTTTATTTTTGAATTTTATGACATTCTTCATTTCTTCTTCTTTAAGTGAGTCAATAGATTTGTTTTACATCGATTATTACTTTCCTCTCAATGTAAAGGAATCGATTTCAAAGCCATAAATTTTCAACAACAATTTCGTCTTTTAACATGCTAATGCAATGAATGCAATGATAAACGTTTAACATCAAGACGATAGAAAAATCAATATTTTCTCTATTCAAATTTGTCTGATTTACCAAAAAAAAAAAAAAAGAAAGATCAGAGAGTAAGAGTAGGAAGATTTAACAGAGAAAGTCTTTTGAAAATGGATTCTTTATAAATAGAATATATAACACGGTGTGTATATATATATACATATATATGTTGTGAAGCTAAAATGAGATAGTGCTCTCTCCTGATTTGTGACGAAGCACGATAATAATGCGGATGATCGGATTCTTCGTCATTGAGCGAATATATTGGATGTAACCATGGCAGCCGTACAATGCTCATATTGGTTCTTCGCCAACTATCGATAATAAGAAAGATAAGATAATCCTGTATATTGGGACTATACTTTATCGTTCTTTATATAGTTATTAGTAGAGATAGGAGAAATTTTTCGTATTAGTCAGAATCGTCTTTTGGAAATTGCCGATCTTTATTTCCCCTCGAATCAAATTTCTCTTCGAATCAGAATTCGACATTATAATCGAGAATATTCTGATGGTGATACTACTCTTTTCTTCGAAAATGCTAGAAAAATAGAGCAACGAGATAGCTGTCCGTGTACTGCCACACGCCATTATACGAAATAAATGCGAGTTAATTAAAGGGCGGAAGCAATTACTTGCAAATAAATCGTAGCCGTTAATCCGTTATAGCGCAGTCAAGTCTGTACTTCTCTCTTCGTATTGTATCACGTATCCAACCCCAAACTACCCTTTTTCGCTTCGTCTCACTGTCCGTCGGCACGTACACGAGGATAGGGATTTGCGAAAACGACGCCGATCCCGTGCTACGTTCGCATAATTGGCTTTGAGCGTCGCCAGCTGCGACCTCAACGATGCCCCATCCTTCTTTCCTTTCATCCTTTCTTAACTTTATCTTCGCTTGCGAGATCCTTACACTATTTTTCTCTGATGTCTATTCGCTCTATGTAATGCATTAAATGAACGTAATTATATCTGTTCCAAAAAAAAAATTAAAGATTTTAAATGATGATTATTTTTCATACATTTAACAAATAAATTCAAGAAACATAAGGAAATATAATTTTTATAATTAACTCTCAAATTAATTATTTTAAATTATACAAATTTTATGGAATTACTTTACACAATTATGAAATATACATGTTACGATGATTACATTGAATATTCTATTCTCGAGAGTATGTGTCTCGAGGCTTATAATGATTGCCATTAAAAGATTAGAATGATTTAAGCAAATTATACTGATAGTCAGACAAGAAATTATTAAAATCGTATTTGTTTATAAAAAAAATTCTGAAGATTCATTGTTGTCAAAACATTGTCCTAGGTTTATTTTCGGTACAACAAAAACTCCAGGGTACGATGACTGTGATAAACTTCGAAGCTGATGTCCTACTGATGCTTTTTGTTCTCTTTAGAAGCTGTCTTTTCTAGCAAACTGAATCGATTCTCCTTTTCATGTTTCAAAAGGTCGCATTCCTTTTTTTTTAAATTCGACGTGCAAATATTGTGTCAAGGACATTGAACACATTGTCAAACTACAATTTCAGCGATTCGATACGTAGAAACCATGTCCACGTTTGACAATGTCCACGATCGTAATTTCAATGAATGTATTTTATTACAGGTTTCATTTCGTAAGTTTGCTATCATTTTAGAAAAGATACGTCAAAATGCTTATCTTTTTTGTTTAGCCATTCGACAAAATCAGCCCAAATGAATTTTTATTTTAGCCTAAATGATTTTACATTATTCAAGGATAATGAAAATCATCTTTTACGATATATCAGCTGATCTGTTAATTTCTCAATGAATTCGTAACAGTAACAGTTACTGAATCGAAAGTTTAGGGAAGATGGGAGGATGATTCTTTTTTAATATTTCGTAAAACTCGACTATAAAAAAAACGTTCGTCCTTGAAAAATATTTGTATACTTGTAAAAAAACTTTTGTACACCTGTAGAAAAATACTATATTGTCAAATCTACTTCGTTAAACACATAAATCTTTCTTCTTAATTTACTTTATCTGGGGGGCTTTGTAAATATTGTCAAATCTTTAGTAGACTTCCCACAGTGTGGCACGTGCCACTTTAATTGCTCCTTCTCTTCTATATCTACCTAAGCTTCCTCTACTTTTTTCCTCTTTTTATTTTCTAACGTTTAAATTTGTGCGAATGACCTACTGTCAGCCTTGACCGAAATGTTTTATTAAGTCATAGATACGTCTGAGCGTGCGGAACATTCGTACTTTTTCCTCGCATCCCTTTTTACTTTTACTTCTTCTCCCGAGCTTCTAAATTGTTATTAAAAAATCCTCTTGTCTAGTATACTCGTAGAATTTATCATTATCATTAATATTCATTATTTACACGGAATAATATAAATTTATTACTTTTAATGGATTTTCAATAAAAATTTCATTCATTTCCATAATTCATATACAATAATTATTTAATAAAATATTTGTCATGTTATTATTATTATTATTATTATTATTATTATTATATATATATATATATAAAAGAAAAAATATATTTCTTTTTAAAACATTCATTTAGAATAGAATATTTCAGTTGATCTTTTTTTTTTCAATTGCTAAAAATCGAAGATATGATTAATTTTCGACATTGAAGAAAAACTTATGGTAAAGAATGACATTCACGTATTTCAATCTTCCGATGAATTCACAGGTGGAGTTATAAAAAAAATGTCCGTGTCGATGATATATACATAGATGGGAGATAGGTATCGTTGATAATGAAATAGTAGTACTAGCGTTGGATAAAACTTCAGTGACTTTAGTTTGATTAAAACATCGAAGAGATCGTTGGACGAATTTATGAACGTAAAAGTAGATTTCATGTATATAACCGGTGACTACAAAATACAGGCCACTATCATGGATGAACCAAAGTTTTGATTAGGAAATTTCAACATTAATTCGATTTTAAAACTGTTTCTTCAGGTCAGTGCTCGCTAGACCTTTCTCTCTGAAGTAACTTTCTACGACGGAAGCTCACAGTTAGAGAGTATTATACAATTCTTATTTACGTACAGAAAATCATCGAAAATGTTGGAAAATTAACATTAGAATCAGTCAGATAGTCTATCTTTTTCTAGGATCTTCTATACTTTATAAAATTACCATGTCTTAACTGTATTGTATTTTCGTGAAATTAGATTATTTACATTT